CATGCTGGCTGGGGAATTCTGGGAGTTGAAGTCCACACGTCTTAAAGTTGCCAAGATTGAGGAACACTGATGTAAGGAATGTGACCTTGGACACCTGAAGACCAGGGAGAGACCTATACTGAAACCAGACAAGCCTGGAAACTGGCCACTAGCTGAAAAGTGGACATCGAGCAAGACTTACTTAGCTCAGTAGCAACAGTGACCACCAGCAAGGCACGGCTGAGATGGAAAGGAGGCGGGTTGCTATGAAGAGAGGGCATGACAGAAGTTTGTTGGGAGAAGCAACATCTGTACAAACATCTGAAGCCACAGCTTGTTTCCTCCCCCCCCCAGCTCCTGGTGAGAGTTTGGTGAGTATGTGAGAGTGAAAGGTGTGTGTGTGTGTGTGTGTGTGTGTGTGTGTCTATGTGTGTGTGAAAGAGCTTAAGCAGAACTAGGCTATGTTGTACCCAATAAAGCCAGGGGGCTAACAAAGAATTCTATGCGTACTGTCTTGTCAGAGTGTGGATTACTCACTCATCCTTGATCTCTTGAAGGTTATTATCTCACTGAAAGTGGTGTGAGTGTGTTTCTCACATAAACTCCCAATCATTGACCAAGGCTAGTCTCCAGCAAGCTCAAAAGGCCTGTTCCTGAGCCGTGAAGCACAGCAGGCGGAGAGTGCTTGTTATGAGTGCCTCAATGGGGAGCAAAAGGAGGAAGATTGATCATAAGTAAGATACCCTGTTCACATCATCTTTCTTTTCCTTGTTTACTGCTCTCGGAAACGCTCCTTTTCTGCACTGCAAATGTGCACTTAATGTTATGTCATCAATAACAACAACGCTGAGCGAGAGCGGATGGAAATGGAGCATCCATCTCTGCAACTGGCAGTCGTTTCACAAACACAGAGATCAGCTGACATCTGAATGGAACCCACAAATGAAAGACACCTTCCAAGTCTCTTTCATTCTAGGAGATGCAAGGGAGAATGAGGTCCACGGCAGGCGATGAAGCCCACTGCTGGCCTCGACGTACCTTTACTGTACTGGATGCCCATGGCGATGATCGTACTCAGAAGCAGAACAGCCACAAAGAGGGAAACCACCCAGAAGACCAACTTCAGCTGGATTTGGGAGCCAAGGCGACTCACTGGGAGGCCATCACCTTTTCGGAAGCCCACCTAGAAAGCAGAAGAAGAACCAGGAAATAAAGAGGAAACAGACACAGAAAAGAAATGGGAGATGGGATACATTAAACTACCAATCCATTGATATCATTCATTCATCACACTAAGTTGTGGTTTATTTAATCATGGTTTATTATTTAAATCACTATTGGCTGGATTCTCCCAATATATTCAGCCCAAACCCATAATTGATAATCAGAGGTTTGAAAAACAGGCTAAGCCAAAAATCAAACAAGTCCCATGATGGCTTCTTAAGATCTGGGAACCCAATCATGGATGGAAAGGGTATTTTGCTCCCACCTATTTTTTTTACCAAATGTAGCTTTCAGCTCCCAAAAAGTGGTATGTCCCTGCTCTAAAAGCAGCAACTGTTTGCAATCCTTACGGAAATTCTGGGTTGCCTTTTTAAAGTTTGGGTGATTTTTAAAATGATTTTCCTGTGGCCTTTAAATCATTCGCAACAAGCCTTTGTTGAAAGGACAACAGGCTTGATAGGTTTAGCTTCCTTTTTAATCATTTATACTGAAGCACAGTATCATCAAAAATGAATCTTCTGTAACTGGCAATACAATATTGTATTTGCTCCATAAAGCAATTCTTCCCGGTGTCCCCTAAGGAATAAAGTCACAGCTATAAATCTGGAGGACAATTGGTGACTTCAGAAGGCGGCAAAGGATTTGGGCAGAACTCTCTTCCACGTCCTTTACGCAAACCCTTTAGAACAAGCCACCCTTAACTCTTTTCCTCTCCCCCATTCATGCAACACAACCAGCATTAGTGCTGCAATTATGTAGGCAGCCAAGACAGAGCTGCGATTATTACTTTAATACAATAATCATGTTGCCAAGCAGCATCGGAGGCACTTCTGAGAAGACCCAGGATGTCTGAAGATCACATTGCAGGCCCCTAGCAGACTCTCAGCCTGGGGCCAAGTCCATAAAGTGCCCTGTTCGCCCTACCTCTATACTGTCCGGAGATGTGTTGCTGCCATCCCCATCAAGGACTTCATCATCCTGGAACATCGCTCGCTTATATTCAGCCATCTAAAGAGGGAAAGATGTAGAAATAACGCTGTCGTGAAAGACACAAGAGGCTACTGTCTCAGCCTTCAACAGACTGAGATCCCACCCTGTAGCCACCAACACGAAAGGATCAGAAAACAACATGAATAGCCCCATTTTTCTCATGGGAACTCTGGGAGTTGTAGTTTGATTGCCAAACTCCCGGGGCAAGGGAGTTCTGATACTCCTATCACAGAATCCATTTTAAACTACGGTACTTTTATATTCAGAAGGAGGGGTTGATACTGGAAATTGGTTTGTTCTTGTTCAGCAAACAAGGCTTCGTATATTGGATGACAAACTGAAAAAGAGACAGCTGCATTGTGAAATGGACTTGACCTTTTGATATCGCTGTCCACAGTAAATCAGGTTTTGCAATCTTATTCTCTGTTCTGCGACTGTCTATATACAGGAAAGCAGAGATTTGCCAATCTGAACGTTCCATAAATTGAAGGTATAATCATCATCATAGTCCCTGAAGCTGTGGCTCTGTACAGAATAATTTAGAGAAAGGCCAGGTTTCTCTACATCACGAAAAATCATCACATTTCACCCAACAATAATTTTGTGCATTTATCCGATGCAGCCTTTCCAGACGTGAGAATGCAGAGATGGAAAATAATGCAATGGTCCAGCTTCTGCCTAATGTCATTTTTAAAACAGAGATTCCATTTTAAGAATGGTAATTCTAAGGCTGGGAAAGGGGGAAGGAAAGAGAAGAAGAGGATGACCAGCAGCAAGATGGACAGATTCAGTTACAGTAGCGATGAATGCACCGTTGGGAGACCTGAAAGAACAGGTTAGGGATAAATCGTTGTGATCCATCGATGTGGTCTCTAGGAGTCGAAAACAATTCGATAGCACATAATCAATTTAAAACATTCTATGGAAATGACAGAAAATGATAAACTGATTTGCTTATTAAAAGAAAACTCAAATAATTATTATCTTAAAGAATGGAAACCATTGATGGACTATTTGCAAAATGCAGGCGGGGTGAAGCTTACAT